ATGAATAAATTGATTCCCAATCCTGAGATATTTCTACTAAAACAACATACTCGGAAGTTGATAGCTAAAATTGCTACTGATTTGCAGCAAGACATGAAGAAATTTTTTTTATTTATTACCTAACTTCTCGAGCATTTATATCAGATGCTCTTCTCCTCCCAGATTGATCAAGAAAGAAGATGATAGCAGAAGAAGTAATCAACACAAGGTACTAAAATTCCAACTCCTCATGTATAAACTTTCAAGATATCTTAAGCATTGGATTTCAGTACAATTTTAAGGGAATTCATAATATATTCTAATATCCAGAGAGCAAAAAGAATGAGAATGCAGAAACCTAGACTCCATTTGGTGCATGAAAAGACTTTCTAGTTTTCATTTTTGAAATTTATGTTCATACATGTACTTGTTCATAAAAATATGTAAGAGTAGATTTTTTTTTTTTTTTGAAATTAATGGGTATAATTATAAGCACCAAAGGAGTGCCAACCCATGTACAAAAGATAATTTACACATCAATCATACAAGCAACAAGGTTACCTAAATCTTCCATGAAATACAAAGAATTACATGACCACTAAATCAAATGTTTGATACCACCTAGTTCTAACCCTATTAACATCCTCTTCTGCTCTTTCAAAACTCTTGTAGTCCTTTTCTTCCATATTACCCAAAAGATAGTAAAAGATATAAGTCCTAAATATTTTTTTCTACCGCTTACATCCTTCTAAGCCCATAGCTCCTTCCTAACATTGTCCGCCATTATCCAACTGATGCCCAACATCCAATACACCATATACCATAGTTTATACATTATGGGACAACGAAGTAAAATATGATTGTAACTCTCTTCCGCTCTCTTACTAAGATATCACCCACCCACTAGAATCTTTCCCATTCTCACCAATTTGTCATTGTTATAATGTATTCACGACTTGCTTCCCATACGAAAAACACGATTTTAGGGAGAGCATTCGCTTTCTATATTTGCCAGAACGAGAACTTGTTCTCCACTGATTCATTCTTGATCAAGTATTTATGAAATGATCTGACATAAAGGTCCCTTTTCAATTAAGGATCCAAACCGGTTAATCATCCCCCTCATTCAAGGATACGGGGGACAGTAAGTTCAATGCAAACTCATAATCATTTATTTCCAAGTCACTAAAATTCCTTTGAACCTCCACATTCCATCCCTTACCATCCCCAACTTCTGTAAAAGACTCCTTAGAACATATCCTTGTAACATGCAATCGCAAAGATATGTGAGAATCTTTCTTTAAGCACTTCCTCTCCGAGACAAAAGTTCAACCAAAAACTGATTCTCTCCCCATTTCTGACTCTCCACCAGATGCATTTATGAAACTTCTCTCTTCCCACACATATCTTTTCTAAGCCCCTGTCCCAAGCGATCTAGTTACTCCTCTAGGATACCAAATCCTCTCCACTGTGCTATATTTTACCTCAATAACCCTCTACCACATAATCCTTGTTCCTTATGGAATAAAGTTTTCTAAAGAATACTAAAAATGACATTGTAAAATTTCTAACTCTATCGTTATTTTTTACTATTATTCTCTTCATTCTTGACTAACTTATATGTTTCATAAATACAATAAGATATAAATTCAAAAAAATAAAAACTAGCAAAAGTTTTCATTCATCAAAAAGAACCTTAAAATCTTCAACAGTTCTTGAACACCAAAGTCAACTGAGAAAGACAATATACAGTTTGTATGAAATATTGTTCTGCATGTTGCATCCTACATCAATAGTCGAGGTGCATGCAAGAAGACAAAATAGAATCAAAACACGAGATCACAAACATATGTTTCTTGGGGAATAAAAGAGATAGTAATTTGTTCATAATCTCAGCTCAAGGAGGATATGGTGAACCTGTCAAAACAACATCACATCTCATTTCATTGAAATCACAGCTCAAGGAGGAACTGAGGGCTAGGGACTGAGACAGGTTTCGGGACTGCATTACATGCCATGTGAATAGTAGAAAATCAATCCAGAGTACAGATTCTCTGGTAGATTAACGCTCCAATGAATAGCCAGAATAAATCAAAGGCCTAATTATTATAAAAGTTCATAATCCTAAATGGGATTCTTAACCCGCAGCTGGTTAGGTTTCAAAGTAAAGCCGATGAAGCGGCTCCTGAAAATGGATATTAGTCTCATGAATACTGTATTGACTAGGGGAAGCCTAAACTGAAACCAACCAATCAAAGCAACATTAACGTATTGTTTGGTTAATACCTATGATATTTTAATTCTCCAGAACTCAATTACTTAGAAGTAGAATGTAGTCATGATTTCATATTTGATTAACAACTGGACAAACTCCACTCTGTGTTAATTTATAGAACGAAGAATTTTGAGCTTTTATCACGATAAATGGCAAAAAAGAAAATCAAAGCAGAACCAGGCAAACCTACCCCTACATGCTCTGCTTATTCCACTCTTGTTCAATGTCCTATATTACTAGGTTATCACCATATTATTAACGCAGATTCCCATCATAGGTGATTCAGATCAAATTAAGCAGAACCACAGCCAAATTCTTGAAGAAAAATCACTACACCGACAAAATTGAATCAACCGCATAGCAAAATAAAATTTCTTCCCTTTTATTAGTTTTAGTACCAAATTGGAAACAATATCGATCATCATCTTACAGAAATTATAAAAGGGTCAATATACATACTACCGTTTGCAACTCAAAGATCAACCTCGCACTGCCTCGATTGAGCCACCAAAGTTCCTGTCCCATTATTACCGGAGAAACCGATCCCCACGGGGTTGCAATAAACCCTCATCAGATGCTGTCTCATTCTCCAAACTCCAGTCCTAAACCTAACCAAGGCATAGACATTAACCCCAAAATTCACAAGCCCACGATTCCTTTCCTTGTTTATCGAATTGACTACATCTTCACCGACGTACTCGCTCATCACATTGAGTTGGAACTGAACGGACGATTCATTCCCCTTTCCTTGGGAGAACGGAGGCAACTGAGTAGATCCCAATTGAACCTCTTCCCCGTAGAATACATAGGCCTGGAGGCGGTCATAAGTAACAGAGAGCTTGCTGTTAGGGTTTTTGACGAGAAGAGAGACGACCCAGGTGCCGGATAGCTCGGAGCGAGTGGAATTGAGTTTTGGGACTGAGGCAGAGTCGACGCGGAACTCGGGAAGGCGTGGCCTGAGTACGAGCCAGGTGATGAAAGATATAAGGCCCATGAGACAGATGACCACGATGAACGCGACGATCAGACGGCAGAGAAAGGTGCGCATGAAAGGGCGCCGCTGGTTGTAATTACTCTGAGCGTAGTAGGTGGGTCCCGGGTGGTGGTGTTGGTGGAAGACGTAGGGTTGTGGAGGCGGTGGCTGCGGGGCTGCATACGGATAAGCGGTGGCCGCAGGATAGCCGGATGCTACTTGACCCGGCTGAGCCGGGTAGCCGGTGACCGTCTTGTCTTCGGCTCCTGCTGACGTGGACATTGCGGATAACGTGCGAAGAAGAAATTACAGAGAAGGATATTTAGACCCAACGAGTGCGTTTGTGTTGAAAACTAGTTGGTGCAGAAGCCAGTTTGTCTGTAGTTATACACGGCTTTGTACACGTGGCAGCATCTCGTGTGGAGAATTTATGCGTAAATTCAGGAGAAATTGTCCCTCGAGATAACGCGCATACGGCGTATACCGCGTTAAGAAATTAATTTCTATTTTTTAAGGTTTCTCCATACGGTGTCGTTTAGGAATTATTTTTTACACTTTCGATCAACATTTGTTTTTTTTTTTTTTTTTTTTGAGTAAAAAAATTAATTTATTATAATCTCTACAAACAAAACAAAATTAATAAATTCCTCCGGTAATTCCAAATTAATCACCACTATAATCTATCATTTATATTTCAATCAAGGAAAAAACAGAAGACAGCCAATGGAAATCATGGCTTTTGTCTTGTTGAAATGGCGATGAGAGTAATGACTCATCATCAATCACCGTTCTCACATATAAACCGCACAAGGCACCGGCTTTCCAGCTTCAATGGCTCCGTCGGTAGCGGCGGCTGACGCGAACCTAACCACCAGGTGCTCGCAATACACCTTCATGCCAAGGTGGCGTGTCCACCAATCGCCGGACTTGAGCGTCGACCACACCATCATCCTGAAAGTAAACGACACCGTTCCCTCCGCTCTCTTCTTCCTCATTTCCTCCACCACCCAGCTGCCGACCATCGGCTGATCCGGGTTTCCCGTTGACAGATTCGCATGCATCAATGCCTCCTCCTTCGTTTCCAACAATAGCGGCGACATAAACGCCGTCGATAGGAAATGGTCGTCGTCGTCTTCTTGGAACGTGAACCCCTGGATTTGATCCAAAAACACTTTGAGCTTTGAGTTCGGGTTGATCACCTTAACGTTCACGTCCCAATTGGCCGTGAACGTCGGTCCTGACACGTTGAACTTCGAGACGGAGAATGTCGTGACGTGGAACTGCGGAACCTGGGGGCGTAAAACCAGCCATGTGATAATGCTGGACAGGCAGAGGAAGACGACAGTTATGATTAGCACCGTGAAAACGCCGCGGAGAAAGCCGGAGCTTCTACGGAGTCCTGGTTGTTGGGTCGGGTAGTGTTGGACCCCGTAATACGCGGCAGGTGGAGCTTGGGCATATGGATATTGGTGGTAACCATTTGGATAGCCCGGATATGGTGGTGGGTAACCCGACGACGGTGGATAACCGGAAGGAGGAGGGTAACCGGAGGTTGGTGGGTAACCAACGACCGGAGGATGAGGGGAGCAGCGCGAAACGGAGGGATTGTCGGGGTCGGAGGACTGACCAGAGTGATCTCTCTTGGCTGATTATCTTGGTCGGGATGAGATGACATGGAGGTTTCCTCTCTCTCTCGGTCTCTGTGCTTTTTTGTAAGAAAACGGAGGGAGAGAGTCTGTTTGGGGGAAGAGAAAGGAAAACATGTAGGAAAATGTAAAAATAAAAGCTGGCCAACTAAGAACCGTTTGTTAGAAGCATAAAACCGTTAATTAAATAAATAATTATTTATTTTTTAAAAATTAATCATTTTATTTTTTTATAATAATTTATTTGCCATTTACCAGTTCCATATTTAAATTTGCAAAATATAATTAGAATGAAATTCAAATATAAAAACAATTTGCTTTCTGCCCTTGTTCTTGTTTCCAATAATAATCTCACGTTGAAAATTAAAATTGACGTAATAATTAATAAAATTTGCATCATGCTTATTAATTAAATTTTTTGTGATTATAAATAGGATAATTACATGATTTTTTTCTTTCTATAAAGTTGAAACACCCGCCCCTCCATGTACATATATATATATATATTAAATATATCAAACTATTAAATAACACATTAAAACAAATATGTACAAAAATAGTAGTTTCCAATTAAATTGTGTTTTTCTACATATTTTTATTTAAAAATTATTTTTATAATATTATAATTAATGTCTGTATATAGCATAATTAATAAATATATATTTTATATAAAAAATAAATTGTAATAGAAATAAATCCTCCGTCATTAATATAAAATTATTTTTATTAAATACATAATCAACTCACATTATCATCACAATTATTTATTTGGCATCAACTAAGTATAATTTTCATAATTTTATTATTTTAAAGTATAATTTTCATGATTTTCTAATTTGAAAAAAAAAATAAATTTGGGAATAAATTTCACATAAAATTTCGGAATTTTTCGATATATAACTTAACTATTGAGTTTTAAAATATAATTTCACCAAAATATTTACTTATCACACAAATAATTCACTAACAAAATAATTTATTCACAAAACTAGTCGATAAATACTCAAATAAACTATGTCTAAAAATTTTATAATTTCTTTCTAAATGTATCAAATATTGTTTTATCATGTATTTTTCTTTACATATATATATATATATATATGTGTTTCAAAACATATTTACTTAAATGTGTGTGTATATATATATACACACACATATGTCAAAACAAACGCTCTTCGTGAACTTTACAAATAGGATCGGGAGACGTTAATCTACCATTGCTACCCTCGAAGACAAGATTGACATTGAGGCAGAAAACATAATAATTTATAATCTTCATTCTCCCTCCACCAGTCGAAAACCTCGATCGAATTCGCAATAGCAATTGGATCCCCACCGTCCTTCTTTTATTCTTTCTGTAATCTCCGATCATCTTCTTCGCCACACTCACATCTTTAAACGCGCTCATGTCCAGCTCCATCTTCAGTTCTGCCTCTCTATCCCACGTCCCCATCCTCAATTTTGCCGGCTGAAACGATTTCGCTAGACGTACCTTCCTCCCGTAAGCCACCGTCACCTCCGCTCTGTCTATGTGAAACTCCGCCGTTTCCCCTTTCCAAATCTTGAAGCTCGCCTGCATCGAAGATTTCACCAGGCCGTAATTCCTGTCTATCGCCGACGAGTTCAGACCCTCGATTGAAACCGAAGCCAATGTGAAACCCGGAGACTCTGGAAAGTAAAAGAATAAAGAGTACACAGCGAAGAAAACGAATAGACCCACAGAAGCTAATACGACAACCGTCGTCGGCCGAGGAAGATTCGTCACCGTAAAGTCGGCGGCTGTCGTCGGAATTTGTTTGGAACAACTCGGGTTCTCGGTATCCGGCGCCAGCGGAGAAGACGACCTATAGCCTTTTTTGCTTTGCTGATCTGAAGACGCCATTGTCATCGTCATTGGCTTGAAATTTGGAGTACTGCATGAATCATAACGTAATGCAAATTAATTAAAAGAAAAAAAAAAGTTGATAAGTTGAGAAAAAAACGAAAAACGAAACGACGTAGTCGTAAATTGCTGGAATTTATTATTTTGTTTTTTTTGTTATTTCATAATTAAACTCTTATTTTTTTCTTAATTTACGAAAAAAAAAAGCTGGAAATTGGTGTCAAGACGGGCAAATTGAGTACCCACCACTTGTTCTTGTTCCAAACGATGCCGTATCAATATAGAACATACTACTACTGCTACAAGTGATTTTTATATAATAACTTCACATTCAAAATTAAAATTCAAGTCATCATTAAATTTAATTTGCATTATGCTCCTTAATTAATTTTCTTGTGATTAAAAATATAAACTTAGATGAATTGATGTCGTATATTATTTAAATGATAACGTAAATACCGAATTAAAATCATGAAGGATTCAATTTAGTTTAAGCATTAAGGTTATGTTTAGAATAATTTTTTAAAAATTTAATAGCATATACAATTTAACATATAATTAAAATAATATATTTTAAATTTTAAATAACTTTCACTAAAATGGTTGATAAATACTCCTATAAATTTTTTGTCTGAAAATTTTTATAATTTCTTTATAATTATATCGATTTTTTAAAAAAAAATCAAAAGATTTATTTATTTATTTCTAATATTCTGTTCTTTATGTTTATATACGTACCAAAACATATCTACTCAAATACATATACATATATATATATATGTCAAGATATTTTTTCGTAAACTGTACAATCATGATCGGGATTCACTAATCTAGCATTGCTACCATTAAAGACAAGCTCGTTATATCCGCAGTCAATGTCATAGTTTCTATTCGCCATTCTCCATCCACCAGTCGAAAAGCTGGATTGAATTTGCAGAAGCAGTAACACCCCCACCCTCCTTGTTTTATTCTTTCTATAATCTCTGATAATCTTCTCCGCCACGTCCACACCATCAAACGCGTTCATGTCCAGCTCCATCTTCAGCTCTGCCTCAGTCTGCCACGTCTCTATCCTGAGTGCCGCCGGTTCGAACGATCTCGCTAGACCTGTTCTCCGCCCGTAAACCACCGTCACCTCCGCCGTGTATATGTGCAACGTCGTCGGTTCCAATTTCTGAATCCCGAAGCTCACCTCCATCGAAGAACTCACCAGCCCGCGAACCTGGTCTATCGCCGACGAGTTCAGGCCGTTGATTGAAATCGAAGCAAGTTTAAAAACCGGAATCTCTGGAACGTAAAAGAATAACGAGTACACAGCGAAGACAACGAACAGAATTACAGAAGCTATCACGACGATCGGTGACGGCCGAGGAATATTCGTCATCGGACTTTGTTTAGAACAATCCGGGTTCTGATGATCCGAAGACGACATTGGCTTCGAGTTTGGGAGATTACGTGAATCATAACGTAATTAAAAAAAAAAAAAAAGATTTGTAAGTTGTGAAGAAACGAAAAACGAAACGACGTAGTTGTAAATTGCTGGTATTTCTGATTTTTCTTTTTGTTATTTCATAATTAATTTTTTCTCAATTTACAAAAAAAAAAGCTGGAAATTGCTGTAAAGACGGACGAATTGAATAACTACATTACCCACCAAAATTATATTTTCAAATTTGTGTATTTGTCGTTATAATAATTACAAAAAAAAAACTAATTTTAAATAATTAGGGTAATTGTACCAAACATTCCCTGGGCTCATCACCAGTAAGCCAACCAACTCCGGTAACGGCAACAAACTGCATTTCCAAATGAGGACATTTAGGTTTCAACTCATAATCCCAGTACAATATCCCTGTCCTATACTTTACCCTGAATTCCAACCCTAAAAACAAGTAAAACCCTCCTTTCTCCCCATCTTTCTTCATCTCCTCCGCCATGTTCTCCTCCACGAACGGTTGTTCTCCCTCGCATTCTCGGGAATTATACCTCGCCTCCACCAGTTTCTGTCTCCGGGGCCACAAATGCACTGCCTCCACCACGCTACATGATATCGGATCGAGTCTATTGCTGTGGTTATAATACAATAATGTCTCGAATTTGTCTATGAAAATCTCGAGCACGCTGTTTTGGTTTGCCAAGAATAACTTGGCGTTCCATGTTGCGTCTGATAGTGAACTTGAGATGTTGAGATTTGTTACGGAGAGGGATTGGAGTTTGAGGATGAGAGGTTGTGGTTGTCGCCACGGAGCGTACTTGAAAGTCATGATCAACCCTATTATTACGATAATTAGTCCTGTTATCACACCGACGATGATTAACGCAAGTTGTATTATGCTCGAGGAATCGTTTGAGCGCCAAAAATCCATCTATATGTATACAAACAAAAAGAAAGAAATTATATATATATATATATCTAAATAACTTGCTTAATTTACCACTAGAAAACAACCAACCAGATAAAGGGGAAAACATACCTTTCGAGTGATGAAATTTTACTTTAACCAACCGAAATTCACAGCAAGTCGGAGTTACTTCTGCTTGGTGAATGGTAAATTTGTTTCACTGGCTTGAAAATCTCCAATTAATGGAAGATGAAGCAAAACTGTCAAATATTTTTAAAGCAATTTTCAAAACCAAGAAAGAAAAGTACAGTGGTAGTGAAAATGAAACTGCTGGGTTGCAGTTATAATATATATATATATATATATATGTAATGGCGGTTTTTTCTTGCAGTCACGACTTTTGGTGGTGGCCGGGGAGAGGAGAGTTCTGAGCCATTCTTTAACCAGTGGGTTAGTTTTTAACTTTTTCGATTATGTGATTTTGTTAAAATTTTGTGTTATTAATTTAATTTTTAATTTTCAATAATTACAATTTTAATTAATATTTGTGTATAACTACATCTTGTAACAGCTTCGACGACAACCTTAAATCTATTTCGTATGTTCCAACCAAAATATTTATTTCATTACCTTAACCAAACAAACATCAGCCGCCAAACAGAACTTTTTTTTGTTAATTAATTATTTATTAATTTTTAATTACAAATATAATATGACATTTAAATTAAAATAATAATAATTTCTAAGGTGAAAATTTGGCTGCTCTGTTTTGTAACCCATAAACATAAAAACAAACCAAACAAATATAACGTGTTAACCAAACGCGGTACTAAGTTTCACGTATTATCTCACCTTCACCTTCTTCTTCTTCTTCTTCTTCTTCTTCTTCATCTCTCTGTTTCAGAGAATCAAAATCATGGCTTCTTCTGCAGATTTGTTATCCTCAAACTCTAATTCCCGACCTCAGACACCATTGCTACCACTCACCGTCAACCCATCCTCTAACATTTCGAGAAAAAACTTCAAAACCATTCTTCACTTCATCCCTACGCTAGCCACAGCTCTCGTCTCCATTTACTCCATAAACTTGGCTATGGAGATCTCTCTTTTTCCCAAACAACCCATTTTCCACATCACCTCCCTCTCTCTCTCCAACTTCACCGTCTCGGAAAAAAAGCTCGCTGCCGTCTGGGTCGTCAACGTGACGGTCTTTAATCCCAGCTTTGCCTTGCAGGTCGCCATTGATGAAATTGAAAGCTCGATTCTCTACAAAGAAGACGACCCTCTTTCTATAACTTCTGTCAATGGCTTCCACTTGGGGTTGAGGGAGAAAAAGGATTTGCGGATGAAGTTTGCGACGACGGGTCGGGAGCCGGTGGTGGAATACCCGGTGTTGAGGGAGATGGGTGGGGAATGGAGAGGCGGAACGGTGTCGTTTAGCTTGGAAATGACCATGTGGAGCACGTATAGGACAGGGCTGTTTGGGTGGTCAAGGCGTGTTTACGTTAATCCTTATTGCCTCGGTTTAGATGTTGGGTTTGATGATGGACGGCTGATAGGGAGTGGGCCCAAGGATTGTATGGTCTTGATGCTAGTTACTTGATTAGTTTTTCTTTAATTAATTTTTTAATTTTTATAATTCAATTCTTTGAATATACTTTATATATATATATATATATATATATATATGAAAGTATATACAAATTCAATTCACTTCAAGTGAAGATGATTTTCTTTTCAGTAGTTTTCTAATTTTTCGAATGTAATTCCTGAATTTCTTACAAGAGAATAAAAAATAAAATTATAAATAATAAAGAAAATAATAATTTTTGAGTTAAAATTGATTATATGTACGTAAATATACAAAAAATATCGTTTCATATATTTTAAAAACGTGAAACTAATTATTTTAACTAAATATTAATTATAAATTTACTAGTTAAATTTATCTCTTTCAATTTCGACGTGGTTCTTAAATAACTATTAAGACTTATGATGAAGTTTATGATTCCTGTATATAGTTACATTTTTAACGCAAATGAATATTTTCAGCAGATGGTTTAAATGTTTGATTGTATATTTTTTTATTTAGACGATTTAAAAATTCTAGCTAAAAATATATAATTCAAAAAATTTAATATTCTAAAAGAATGAATTTTTAATCCCGTATAAAAGAATTACTTATATATATATTTATATGTATACGTGTAAGTATCGGGGATTTTCCAAAATTATTTTTAAAATGAGATTTTGTGTACACACCCATGCGCGAAATAAAATCTTGGGGCAAATGGAAATTGGTATTTACAAAAAAAAAAAAAAAAGAATAGAAAAAATTAATCAAGAAGCATCATTGCCAAACAATTAGTGGGGCCATCTACGGTCAGCGTGCCCTTTCCAGTTCCGGCGAGCATTCCGACATCCAAAACAGAGCAATAAGAATTAACCAGAACAGGCCTCGACCACCGTAACAACCCACCGCCGTTCGTTCCCCACATCGTCATCCTCAAGCTAAACGGTACCGTTCCGCGTCTCCTATCCCCACCAATCTCCCTCAACACCGGGTACTCCACTATTGGCTGGTCGCCTTCCCACCCGGTCGTCTGAAACTTTATCTGCATAACTTTTTTCTCCCTCAACCCCAAATGGAAGCCATTGACAGAAGTTATGGAGAGAGGGTTGTCTTCTCTGTAAAGTATCGAGCTTTCGATTTCATCGATGGAGATCCGCAAGGCGATGCTGGGGTTAAACACCGTCAGGTTGGCGATCCAGACGGCGGCCAACTTTGTTTCCGAGACGGAGAAGTTGGAGAGGGAGAGGGAGTTTATGCGAATAGTGGGTTGTCGGGGACAAACGGAGAACTCCATAGCCAAGTTTATCGAGTAAGTGGCGATTAGTATTGTGATCAATACAATGATTAATTGAAAAATGATTTTGGTTTTGGTGTTTTTTTTTTTATACGAAGAGAAATGGTTGTTGTTCATCACCGGCATCATTTTGTAAGATTCGCTAATGGGGTTTCCGGAAAGAAGCCTTGCAGAGGAAGCCATGATTTTTTTTTTTTTTTTTTAATGTAACAATCTAACACAGAGATAGAAACACAAATGAAGAAGGTGAAGTATGATGCTTAGTACTTGATATCGTTCTATATATGCGCACATATATTATACTGTATGTAATTGAGAGAGGTGGTTTTGTGTTATAACAACGCGGGTTATTTGTTGGAGAATTGTGTTATTTATTTTTTGTTTCGTTTTAATGTAAAGTGTTCGTGCCAATTTCTAACCATTTTTGCATTGGGAAACATTTCTAGTATGTTTTCATATAATACCCACGAGTTACTGAAACTAAATTATTAATTAACAGGTTGTGTTAAGGTTAAGGACATCTATAATAAAATAACGATAAATCGGGTATGTTTTATATGCAATTAAACAATTAAATATGCCGTTAAATATAATTATCTGTAAATAAGAAGAATATTTTTGGCATCAATGATGAATTAGTAAATTGTTTTTTTTTTTTTTTTTTTTTTTTGTTTTAGATGATTCATGATTGTTTTTTATATGAGTGTTTATTTTAATCTCAAATATTAAACTAAAACTACCTTTTAAGCCCCAAGTAAAAAAAAAGTCATCTTGGCTGATATTGGACTTATTCATGCGGCCTGGACTTTTGATGAATGATGAGAAGATTTTAAATACACGAATTGTATATGTATATATATATATATAAGGGGACCATAGCCGATCATGTTGACATCATTTTCTACTTATGTTGAAAGACCATGTTTCTGTATTGTTAATAGCTGCCAAATTTGATGCCCTTTCTTTCCGGTTACGACTCTATTTTGTTTCCCTTCTCTTGTTAATCTTATCGCACATGGTTAGACGAGTAGTGACAAATTTTACCTACATAGGAGCTTCACAAAGGAAAAATATTTTCCTAGAAGCCAAATTGGACATCAGTGATGATGATGCCCAAGTGAATGAAGTTAATGAAATGCAGTCGATAAGCAGCATACCTAGCCAATTCTTCCTAAGTTGAACCCACAGGTCAAAATTAATTCAGAAAGTTATTCTCAACTCGCAGGCTTACATGGGGACTGTTACCATTAGAATATTTGATCCACTAACTAATCTAGTTATTCAAATAATTTTTTTTTTTAAAAAAAAAAGGTTTTATTTACGACCATGATTTAGACTGTAAGAATCATTTATTTTTTCTTAGCCCTCTAGTCATGGAAGCAGATTTGAATTTTAAATCATTGCTCCCGTACACTACTTGCACTTCACTAATTTCATCAGCTGACTCCCTCTGACCGACAAACATAAAGCCAGGATCCCTGGTTTTTCTCAGAGGAGCATGTACAGGAGCATATATGATATATATATATATATATATATATATATAAAAGGGCTTAGAGGAATGTACACGATTCTATCAAAAGAAAAAGAGGGAATGTATACAGCTTCATTTTGGGCCTAATTAAAAGCAAAAGGAAGAAATTCAACCAGCCTATTATTTACCCCCATAATTGTACAATGAAAATAAAAAATCCCAATTAACATCTAAACAATTCAAATAAAACAATTAATGCACATTGTTGCAGATACTTATCGCTTTTGTTCGTTCCACGTTTTACCTTCAAAGAATTCATTCAGCATGCGCTCAAGATCCTCAGGGGTATATCTTATATACTTCTGCGGGTTTTTTCCACTTTCAATCATCGGCCTGAAACATATCAAGAATAAACAAATGAATATGAAACATGGGATGGAAGATGAAAATAAAGAGAAAAACAAGTTGAGAGAGAGAGAAACATGCCCAAAACGTTTAATGAAAGATCTATAGGCAGGTAATAGGACTTCAGCAACAGCTAGCCTCAAGGACTCCCGCAATTCACTATCAGGGACTGTCCACTGCGCTTGCCTTGAATAAATCTCTTCAAATTGGAAATTGAAAGTCTTAAACCTATCTTTTATCATTGCTCTTGAAACACTACTGGTGTCAATGCCACCTCCACCGCCCGATGAAGCTCCCTGAACTGTAAGACATTGCAGAATCTGCAGATCTAGAAAATGATTAACTTAGTTTGTTACTTAATATTGGCATGCCAGCTAAAGTTTTAGCACCAGAATATTAGTATAGTGTTGGACTTCATTATTACTGAAAGATTTTCTGAAGTCAACAAAGAGAAGAGAAAAAAGTAAATTGAAGAAGCTATAACGAGGTTTATCACAAGGAAACAAGTAATGTAGAACTATAATATGTCTGGCATTCTTTTTGAAGGTTGCTGCCAAAAGCCATACTTATCCGAATGACACCATAAAACCAGATGAAAACAGGTTAAACACAAAATTGAGAGAGACAAAGAGAGCACATTGCATGCAGAAAGAGATAGAAGTTTCAAGAACAATGATCCTAATTTGAACTAAATCAGATGTGAAGAGAATGAATCTGATAGGCAGGGTATCTAATAAAGCTTTCGATGAGGAAAGATGATGAATAATGTGACCAATTTAAATAAAAAACTGAAGATATTGTGAAAATATGTCAGATGACAAAACCTTTGCCCAAGAAACTCTCTTATACTGATTTGCATGCTGCTGAACAATTCTTCGGTGAATTTGAACCCAGTCATCCCCCAACATATCCTTTGCTTCTGACCTGTAAATGACTTTTAAAGCCACAATACATAAACTTGAATTTAATGATTTTGATTAAACAAGCTAAAGACAAACCAACCTTCGGACGGATCTCACTATATAGTGGATGTTGTTCATAAGAAACAATTGAGTCAGTGCAGGATCTCTGTACTGCTTGGATTTTCCATCCAGATTAGTCTGTAGAGCCTGCATAATTCTTGTAGTTATAGATGCTAAAAGAGCATCTGGATCAGTCTCGTCAAACTCTTGGAAAAGTAGTTTCAATGTTGATTGGTAGCTGCAAAAATGGATAACAATAGTCAAATCCACAGTCTTGGCATAAAAAGGCCCATACATTTGATGCAGCCATGATGACTATCAAATATTGAATGAATTTGCAGCAGAAGATAATGTACAATGGGAACATAAACCACTAATGTCAGAGTTAAGAAATAATCAGCACATAAATAACCTGGCACAAACGACCAGACAGGGAATTGCAATAAACAAATATGATATGCTGTAATGTAGCATAATTATGGTCGAGGAAAACGGAAATGTCTACCATGCAAGTGTCATCTTTTGCAAAATATACAGAAGCAACAATTTGAGAAGAATTAAAGAGTATATTAAACCCTATGAACCCACTAATAGAGAATTAAAAATATGACAGATGACAAATAAAAAAGAAACTTAAGTAGAAAATGTTGGTAAAAAATTGAAAGCTGTGTAAGAAGTCAAAAATAACTTACTCAAATAAAAATTTAACATAGTTAATCACATAGCTAGTCAAAGGATGTACAGTTCCGTCCTGAACAGCAGTTTTTGTAACATCTTTTTCAACTGCTTCTTCGAAATCCACAAAGGTCTCTTGAGCTGTCTGGGCTAGTCGCTTCGTCAAACTCACAGCAGATTCCCGCATTTCAACACAAGCTTTACTTCCGAAAATAGTTTCAACCTGTATCAAACCAAAAGAGAAGAAGAAAGAAGGATAAAAAAGAAAGAGTATTACTTTCAAAGTAATATGACTTTGTGTGCATCTATTCTCAGAATATTTTTATACCATCATTTCGTTAGATAGTAATTAACCCTAGAAACCTGCTCTGCGTAAAAAGTTAACAGATTATCCGAAAACAAAGCTTCACAAATTAACAGAGGAATTCATTTTTCACAACTTTTTGAAAGCATTCTCAAAAATCCAAAAGGCATCACCATAACCAGTCACGTATCACCCCTAAATCACTCGAGGTCTTATTGGCAAAAAGGGTCCACAAGATCTTTCCCGATTTATAGCGTTAATGACGTAGTATAGTCAATTGCTCAGAGTACATAGCGAACACAAAGTAAAGAAGACAGATCATTAAATCATAAAAAATGGACACGTCACTGAATCTCAAATTTAGAAACTGATGATCCTCAGAACTGATTCTGTGCTCTCCATAATCAGAGACAACTGAGGTCATTAATAAACCTTATAGTAAATTAATTCATTGAAATTTAGAAAGAAGAATACTAAAGCATAGACCAAGTTCATCTATTAAACAGCAAAAATGTACGACCATTGAGCAGAATGGGAGACAATTACCACATTAGTTTCCTCTCTTAAATATCTAAACCCGTTCGTCGAAAGTATGAATAATCTGTTTTGAGTGTTATATCAATTTTTATTTCTCTTAAATATCAGTGAAAAGGCTTGTGAAATTACCATACCTCTGGCTGAATTTCTCTCATTATTTCATACATGTCTAAGAGAACAAATAATTTTTCAGGTGATCTCTTGCTTTTCGCAATAGCCTCTCCAAAACTAAGGAGCACAGCCATACTGTTCGCAGTGACTTCAGCAAAACATTGATCTCTCAGTGAATCAACACCTTCAAGTACTTGATCACATATCTTCTTTTCCGCTGACAACAGCAGCTTGACCTGTTTCAGGCTTAAGATAAGTTAAAGTCACAAAAATAATATCAAGCAAATGGAATTTCCTACAAGCCCTTACAGCTATCCGCACAAAATGTATCCAGTTCCCAATCTTAGCCTCTAAAACCTCCCACTGCATTTTCTGAACATCATCTTTACTAAGTCTCTCCACACCTAATTTCCGAAGACTCTGTTCCAAAACTGAAGCACGAGTGTCCCTAACATTTAAAAAAGAGAAAATTATTTTGAATTCCATTGCAAGTACCAGAAATTGGTAACTGCTGAAAAGAATCATAATGGAACACTGTCATGTTTATTTGCATGAAGAGTACATTGTGATCCTTTCCGTAATAAAAGGAACAACATCCTCTCTCTGAACACAGGCATTCTGGAATCAGTTAGTAAAATGTTTATATCTTCTGATATTTATTTGAAAGGTAGAATATCAATCGTTAAAAAAAATATTAGCATTGAACTAATTTCCGAAAATAGTTGAAATAATCAATGGTAGAGAATTTTTTCTTGAAGTAATTAAATCCTGTTTGGAGGTTATCATACTTCTCACACAAAATCGTAGTGCCAGGGAAAATAGATTTTTTTATCAACCAGCAGAGGAATTTTGTTCAATTGTTTTACTTTGGTCACTAGTAGGGAATCCCTTAGTTTCTTGTTAGCAAATATTTTCATTATGTTTCTCCAAGTTTTTCTAGTCAAAGTAACAAAAACTAAGAAGTAAATGAATAATACTAAAGAAAGGAGGCAAAAATAATTGACCTGTAAATTCTAAACAGTTGTTGCTGATGCCCAGCTTGGACCATTTGTTGTGCTAAATCATGCAGCAATGGCAAAACCCTGGGCGGGATGAGGGTTGGAAGAGTAAAAACAGCATTTTCTAACCTCTTATGATGGTGCTCAGAATGAGGTTTGCTAACAGGATCACCTTGATGCCCTGGTGGTTCTGATGATGGCCGCAAAGAGTTGGGAAGGCAATCAAAAAGTCGATCAGGTTCCACAGGCTTGCTGAAATGGGAAAAGGACACAACTTACAAGTGGTCTATATTGAAAATGATGCTACCTGCTGCTAAGAAAACTTCTTGAGGAATTGCAATATTCATCAAGAAAAAAAAAATCTGAAGCATACTCCTGTTCTGTTAAAAAGTGAAAGTTAAATAATCTTCCTTTACAAAACTTATAAGTTGCAGATTTAATTTCTTCAAGTTTCAGAGACTCAAAGAAATGAAAAGAAGAAAGAAAGTGCTGCGCATACAAGGTGAACTTAACAAGGTTGTGACCAAATCGTGCAAGTAGGTCAGTAGTAAACCAACAGTTCATTTCACAGATACAACACTGAAACAGTATCTGCTTCATGAGACACGATTAAGAACTCGTCTATGTGAACTGTGGCAAAAGAAACGAACCTGTAATTTGTCAGTATCTGTCTGAACTCATCTTCTAGCTTTGAAATTGCTTTTGCAAGCAAGTTATTGGCATGATTAAGAACCCCATCACAACTCTTAAAAATTTTGTTGTTGGTGAAAAAGTTAACATTGCGTCTCAGTTGATCAATGGCTTCTAGGTAACTTTCTAGATCCTCATGCGGCCCTCTCAGTATTTTAGCTTCTGCCTGAACATATAAATTAACTAGGAAATCAGTGTTGAGAATCACATGATAAATCTATTGTGTAATACACGAACAAAGTCATCAAATGCTGCAAAAGCAAAACAATATGGTCCAAAGATGAAAAGGCTATGGTCATTAACCTCATTCAAGACTCTCATTTCTTATAACGAGTAGCAGAACTTCTGGTAAGAATTACCAACGATTCCACGAACCTGCTTTGTTAAAATTAGATAAACAGACTACGGTGCATTTTTAATTTGTTTGGATAAACAACAAGATGTTGTTTTAGCAGCAAATATTTTCAGATGTAATATCTAATTATGCGGAAGAACAAGCTTGGATTCTGATGAAAACAATTTTAAGCATAGAATAAATTTATTGGAGACGAGTAAATGAAGAACAATGACAGAGAAATAAACCTTTCTTGCAAGGTCAAATTGCGCTAATATAACATCCGCTGCCTTCAATGTCTTATCAATATTCTCATGCGCCCTCCTAATGGAATGCGTTCTTATCTATCATCAACAAAACCAAACAAAGCACAATAAAGAACAAGACACAAAGCCTCCGATAATGTAAATTTAAAAAAAAAAAAAACAAAATATATATGTTTAAACGAAGAAAAGCTAGATCCATCTATTGCGTTCAAAAGCAGAGAGAAACACATTGGCCACGATACAAATAACAACCAGAACCCTAATGCTCCATCTGTAATTGCTCTAACGAGATAAAAAAACGTACTAAGAAACGCATAAATAAATAGCTAAAGCCAAAAATCTCGTCGTGCATTTGATAGTATATGATATGAGAAATTTGAATTCATATTTTCCTTCGTCGGGAAACAAACAGAGTGAACCTGAGTGGGACGCATGGCGGTCTCGAGCGCGGAGAGACGGTGATCGAAAGAACCGAGAATGGCGACCATGCTGTCGGTGATGGTCTGGCTTTTGTGCAGCGACTCCCTCACGAACGCTGCTCTCTCTGTCAGCGCCTCCATTGCTTGAGGCACCCCCATTTTGTCACCAGATTTTTCCTCCGCTTTCTCTCTCTCTCTCTCTCTCTCTTTCTCCGCTTGCTTTGATCAACAAGAAATCGAAATGAAAAGGAAAATGGTAATGCAAACGCAAATGCGTGATTTAAAAGTCAGTTTTTGATTGTAAATGGGATTTAGTGCGGGTGAGTTGAGGCGTTGCTTTTCTTATTTTGCTTTTTCCCGTTTCCCGTCGCGGCACGGACAGAGGGGACAAATTATTTAGTAGTTAGTAAGGAATAAAATTGAGTATTCTCCTTTCTCGTCAGTTCGCCTGTGTGGGTCCGTCCAGAAGCCTTGTGGGCCCCGGGTTCAGCTTACATTGCGTTCATCTATCACTGTCTTCGGTTAAACGCTGCGTTTTGCATCTTTATCGTTGGGTGAAACGCTGCGCAAATGGGATGGGGTGGGGCGGAGGTTACCATTACTTACCACTATCTCTACATAACAACATAACAATCAGTTAATATTATAATTAATTAAGATTAAAAGAAATTAATTAATAAATAATTTTACAGCAATCCAAATTTAAAAATCCTTACTATAATAATAACAATAATTTCCCTTTTATTTTATGCAGGTTTTGTTTGGACTGGGAAGGGAAAGGGAATGGGAGGAAAAAAAGCACTTGGGACAAGCTGGAGGTTGAAAAGAAAATCAACCAGTCTGAGAAACATGCCAGAGGGAGCAATGTCACAGTCACCAATATATCTACAACTCCACCATCAAATAAAATATCCATGGCTTCAATTAATAGCATGGCATGCTTCCTGTGAATTAATTTCTATTACCTTAGAGTTCATTGCTTTCACAATATTAATATAAACAAATGTGCTTTTAAAGACAATCTGATGTGGGATTTTAATCTCTAGAAAGAACATGTGAATTGAACTTTCCTCTGTAATTTTTGACAGAAACGCAGTAAAAAATTAGTGGGTTGTGTAATTTATCAACACCTGAAAGTGTTGGACAGCAAGCTATATATATATAGGTGCAAATTTTGAAAGACAGTAAAGATTGGAGCACCATTCTCCTCATTAATGTTTCATGGGTTTGTCCTTTCACCAATCCATGAAAAATTAACTCCATGAAACGGACAAATTTGCAGAGGTATATGCTGGCACACTACAACACCATTTAATGCCCACAACAAAAGACACACAGCGTCTTCCAAGAAGCAACGTTTATGCACCACAACACTTGAAAACACTTATTTATTTGTACAAAGCTTTAGGTTACACAGACGAAATGCACACTACCTTTTAAACTTCTGGCCTAACTGGCTCAAACCCAGCTCCAACCCGCAATTTTGAACAGCTTTGTATTAAAGCAGAACATACCCAACCTACCTAAACACTGACTACTTTTATATAAACCTAAATCTTCTACTACTATTGTTACTGCTGCTGCTGCTACTAAGACACCTATATTGTTTTTTTCTTGAATCTACTGCACAAGCCAAAAAATTATTCAACTTATATCTACTCTCCTGCATAAGACCATAATTCTATTAAGACTCGACTGATATTTTAAAGATTCCCACTTTGCGTCGAAGAAAGAAAGGGCGAACCAAACTCAGTAAGTCCAGTCCCTAGGCAATCTTATCTCTGGAGGAAGATGGTAATAGCAGTCCTCCGCCTTGCTAACAACAGCAACAGCCCCTTTCCCTTCCGTAAACCTTCTTTGTTGATTATCAACCTGCACCTCTTTTCGCTGCCTATTTCTCGGGCCTGTCACAACAACAATGGACCTCAAATTCCTCAACAAAAGCATGAACCAGTCAGGACATGGAAGCTTATAAATACAAATAAAAATCAATTTAAATTTCTAACCCATGTTTAATTACATGAAATTATTTTCCAACTCTATTATAGATCCATAATATATGCCAATATATTTTCTTTCTCAAGTATCAAGTGCCTCTTACAGCCACAGAAGAAGACCATTCTGCAAGTACAACAGAAAAATTACTAAGCGAACTGGGTATGTACTCTTGGAATACCCTTTTCCTCTTCAGAAGGTTTCTTGTATAGGAAGAAGAAGAATTTTCAGACCATAAGTTAGAAGTATAACAAAAGCCCACCATAAAAGGAAAGTAAAGCAATCAGAAGAAATAAAGAAGATGGGAGTTTTTACTTGAAATTAACCCTATACTTCAATTATTGAAAATGGTTGCCAAATATATTTTTTTTGGACTTCCTCTTGTCCTAGCAATACACCACCTAAAATCTTTATAAAAAATGAACCCAAGTTTACATATATGCATAGATTAGTAATTATTAGATGCTCATAAGATGAATAATTACTACGATAATACTATTTGATCCATGATTTGTTCATTTTAAATATTTGTCAGAAAAAATTATAAAAACAAAGTTTAAATGTGACAATCACATTTGTGGATCTGCAAACTCTTACCAAGCAACAAATAATTTTTATTGTAGTTGTGGGACTAAATGATAAATACCCTTTATTTGTCATCTAAGGAAAAGTCCACTAGTAAAGTTGATAATTATTAATACATGCAATTAAAAACTTCCAGAAGTAAACAAGATAAGTTGTAAGCAAACACAGGCATATATAACATCCAATTATATCATCCAAGATTTTTCAATTATATACATGTATACATATATCTTCTCCTTCCTTGTCTTAAATATTTCCAAATACTCAAACCAGGAAGCAAACAAAACCGAAAGCCTAAATATCAAAGTATATGCATTCCAAAAACAGTTAAAAGGCAAAGAAAATACCAAAAACAAACAAGGCCTTAGTAGACCACCTTGCTTTTGCAGCAAACCAACACAAAATTACCCAAAATGCATATAAAAACTTAGCGCAAAACAAATGAGTTAAATGCTGATTAGGAAAGAAAAAAACCCTTTTAAAATGGAAATTATGAAAGACTAACAAGGGGACTAGTTTAATGACTCACCATGGACCATTCTAGAACTGGTGTTGGTGTTGGTGTTGGTGTTGGTGTTGGAGCTAGGGTTAGTGGCTCTGGTGTTAAGAATGCGAGGATGAAAAACACCAGTTCCACCAGATTCCTTCGCAAAACCACGGACCCCAATACCACTTACGGGAAAAACCCTGTTGGATAAGCGGTTTTCCTGCCTGTGAAGAACCCTAGCTCTTGCTTGCAGTTGCAGATAGCTCTCAACCTATACAAATGACAACCCATCATGATTACACCTGCAGAAAACTCATTAAAGCTGCAAAAGCTAAAAATTGAAAAGGAAAAATAAAGCACTGATGAGACAAGTCGAGCCAGTAAAAGCAACCCATAAAGAAGAACAACAACATTTGATTTTCCGCTTTAGAAAAACCGGGTTTCTAGCTTTTCCCAATGTTTTACCTGAATTTGGGTCGGTTTTGTAAGGTGAAATTCGTAAACCGGTTTAACCCGATTGGAAAATGGTTCGGCTCCGTGCCCGCCGTGTGGAACTCTTTCACGAACTCCAAAACCGGCGCCGTTTAACCCAAAAAAACCAGGAGCTCCCGCTATATGATTCCTCGACGCAGAAGGCCGCTGAAACCGCTGTGATTCACCAAAATAAAATCCAGTTAGATGGCCATGCAAGGTCCTTTACTTCTTCCGAGCACAGCAGAGTATTCCCATCGAACAAAATCACTCTGTCTGCGCGTATACATGTATACATACAAATACATATGCCCGTTTATGCAAATACATACTACAAGAGGGGAGTGAAAGAGAGAGAACCTCAAAAGTTGGCGACATTAAGGGCCGAGTGGTTGTTTTAGGTGGGGCGTGCTGGAGCAAAGAGAGGAGATGGAAATGTTGGGAGAGGTTGTCCATGTCGATGTCCATGCAGGATAAACTATGGTGGCGGCCATGGACGTTTGTGTTTAACTTGGATGGAATTTCACTAAGAAACATATCTGAGGGAAGCCAGAGTTCACCGTCGTCCAGATTTGGGGGAAGCTGATTCTGAGCCATGGTGTTAGAGAAACAGAGGATCCAAGCCGATTACCAGAGACAAGAATGAGCAAAATATCCTGTGGGTTATCTTCTCTGTATAATGAAGTGTAAGCACTCGAGTTTTCTGTGAAGAAGAAAGCTAGGAGAGAGAGATGGGTGAGGATTTCAAGAGGCGGAAGCGGGATGTTTTGGGTTTTGGAAAGGGAAAAGAGAGCGAGAGAAGAAGAGGGAGGCTCTGCTTTCAAAACGACGTTACAGGTTCCCTCTTTAAAAAGGAGAGAGAAACTAGATAAAGAGAATGAACACCTGTAGAGGCCTTGTTTGGTTCTCGTGTTTGAAATTTTTGGTTTTTTTTTTATTTTTTAAAATATATATTTATGCGTGTATTTATTTAAAAATAAAATAAAATTATATTTTATATAAATAATTAAATAAAAATAATTTTCAATAACAACTAAAAGCAATATTTCCAAATTTTTGTAATTTTACACTTCAAAAACTAAAAAATTCTTATACTTCAAAAAAATAAAATAAAACCAACTTAGATCATTTTTTTTCCAATTTAAATATGATATATATTTTCAAATTTTATCTATATAGACCCTCGTTATTAATGGTCCGTTTAATTCCGTTAAATTAATTCACGTGGGTATCAAATTTTAAAAATATTGTCAAAATAACAATCACGTGACTCGTTTTGTCATTATTGATATGTTCTTTCGCACTATCACGTTTTCAGGTTCCGGTAAATGCGATGATAATGCTGAAAACTTAAGAACATTAAAATAATAGTGAAATTATAAATTTTATTATTATTTTTTATATTGTTATCGAATCTATATAAATTTATAAATAATTTGTTATTATATAGAGATAAAAATAAAAAAATAATAATAAAAAAATACATAAAATAATTATCGGTGTGGTATCTACCTAACAATATCTTTAAAATAAGATACACAGATAAATATATCATTTGTCATACGAACATCTTTTTGATAACATTATATATATTTTTAATAATAAAAACGTATTCAAGCAAAATTTTGAATAAGTATAAAATTATCAACTTGGTAGATAATAAAAAGTTAAAGAATTTTTTGTAATTTCGTAGTTAAAATAAGTATAAAATTATGAATTAATCACAAACCAATTATTGATTTGTTGGAAGCATATTATTGCAGTGATTTAGTATTATATATCATAATCTTCAAAAATAATACCAAAACTTAAAGGTTGTAATTAAAAGTTCTGTTTGGCTTGCAGATTATGATGAAGTCACAGTAATTATGGGGAAGTGATTTTTCTTTTTAATCCCCACGTCCCCACTCATTTCCAAGTTGGGATTTCTATTCGCCATGTTGAATTTCAAGCCATATATGGGACCGAATTTTCCAATTTTAAAAAATTAAATACAAATCCAAAGAAAAAAAAAAATTGAATTTCAAAGGAAGTGCACACAAAAATGGAATAAAATTAATGGCGAACCAAACAGGGTCTAAGCCACAATTTTGGTATTTTCGCTTTTAGGAAAGATTATCAATAGAATAAATTTTCAGAAGTGATATGCATAAATCTCTTAGGGTATGTTTGGATTAAGAGAAAGGGAGGAAAATAAAATAAAACAAAATTCCATCTAACTTGTTTAGAAGTTCACAATCCGGAGGGAAGAGAAATCTAGAGATAAAATATGGCATTCTTTGAATTTAGGTTAAATAGACGAAATATAAGTTGTCAATTAAAAAAAGTTCATCTAAATAAATTTAATATTTATATACATACATGTAATATGTATGTGTTGGTTTCGAAGCTACTTATTGCAAAAAATTATGATAGCATTGTTGGTGAAGAATAACTTAGAGTTTATCAATGGACCAATCGATAAATTATACGATTCTACCAATTAATATGATATTTTTTCACGTGATTCAATAAAAGTATTTGCAAACTATAAATTTAAAGCTAATAGAGTTGTTTTTAGTTATTGAAACGACATTCGTGGAAAAAATTTATAATGAACTGATTTTTTTGTACTAATTGTAAAATTCGTAGACACATAATTGAAATAAGTTATAAAATATATGGATATTCGTTCAGTTACAAACACAGATTATGCAACTTTAATTTTAAGGTGATATTGGTGATTTTGTTCAAAATCTTGAAATACAAAAATGTTAACGATACTATTATCAAAATGTTTAGTGATTGCAATTAGATTTTGAACAATCCATTATATGTTGTAACTTCTTGAGAATATATATATATATTTTTTGTTTGCACCAAAACTCGTTTATACTCTTATCGATTATAAAATTCAATTGAATAATATTGATAGAGAATTGTTTTATAATATTTTCTAATATAATAAACTTATTAGTAACTGTAATGTTTTGTCTTCTCCCAGTTGAATATTGCTTATGCTTTTCACAAGCTGAGTCAATATGTTTTCTTAGGCCAACGCACTTGATTTTTATGTTATTCATCGTCTACTCAAATATTTAAAATCAAGTATCGGCTAAAGTATATTTTTTTTCGTCTACAAATTTCTTGAAGCTTTGTGCTTTTACTTACGCATATTGAGCAACTTATTTGGACCGTATAAATTATAGTTATTGTCATTTTGTTCAAAATCAAATACTTGCACGTGCCATCAAATTAAAATTAATGTCTATTAGTATTCCATTTAAGCTTTTAGACATGTTCATAAAATTCATATCTTCCACTATTTTACTTACGATATTATATATAACACATAGAAACTACCTAATTAAAAAATAAGATAAAGATAACAATACATAAACTATATCATTATTTTAGTCATTGCTTATACATACTATACATAGATAATGCATGCATATTGTGTATAATGAGCGTATATATATATTACAACTGTTCTACTATTATTTATTCATTTAGCATATTGTGATATATTTTATAAATATTTCAAATATTTGTATTATTTATAAATATTTTGAATAGCTAAACATATGTTTATAAATGTTTTTGACTCCTCGGACGGGACAATAACCATAAGTTTTTAAATAACAAAAATATATTTATAGACATTTCAACTTTATTATTTGTTTTTTTGAACATTTCAAATACTCGTATATATATATTTATGGATATTTCAAACACAATTATATAAATCTCTAAATATTTTTTAAATATTTAGACTCGTATTTTCTAACATTTCAGATATTTTTTGTTTTAAATGACAATTTTTTTTTTGTTATAATTCCGCTAATTTCTCCTCAACAAAATTTTCTCTTTATATATTTTATGCTAAAAAGAGAAAATATTTTCCTTTTTCTCCCCCTCCATTCCCTTCCCACCCGCCCCCCACCCTAACTCCCAAACAGAGTTCGGTTTTCTGTGGTCGAAGATGATGACACGTGTAGATTACGTAATATGACACGTGTAGATTACGTAATTATGACACCTAATTGTTTTGTTTTTTTTTTATTAATTTCATAAATTGTGGAAATTCAGTTTTAAAAGTACATATTTAGATAAAATCAATTTTATTTTACAGCTTAAATTCTGTAACTTCGTAACAAGCCACAGAATATTTATTTATTTAATAGTTTAAATAAATAAATAAATAAATAACTAATTATTTTATGTAATCAAAAGCAAGTTCACAAATGGGTTACGGAATTAAATATAATCTTACAATTTAATTATATTTTATATTGACTAAAATAATTTTTATCTCATAAGATAATGTCCATTAACATCTGGACACATCGTTAATAATAATCTAAATCTAAATCTAAATTAATTAATTATAACAAAAAATAATAATAATAATCTCATGTATATATCGTAATTTATATATAATCAAAGGATTAATTTGCAAATTAAATTAAATATTTAATATAAGGAAAAACTAAGGTACCAACTCAATCAATAATATTTCATGTTAAAAAAAATAAAAAATTGAAAAGCAGGAAGAAGAGAAAGATAAAAGAGTTCACTACGATAAATTCTCTACACTTTTCAAGTGGAGCTAGTTTAACAGAGGTTCCTTCTCTCCATGGAAGAAGCTTCTTACAAATTCTTCAAGTGTTGAAAAATCAAAACACCAAAAAACCCACAAGAAAAATAGTAAATGATGCTTAAATTCACCACATTAATCTGATGCCAAACTACTGTTTGCCATCCAAGAAAAATCCCAAATCGAACTTCCTAATTATATTCCATGCATCAATTTATTTCAATCTCTCAATATGTATCTTCTCCTGTTTTGTTTCTTCAATTAGAAGCCTGTAAAACCTGAAAAAAAAAAAAAGAGGATTGGGAATTTGGTGCCATACAAGCCCCAAAAATCTCAATCTCAGAAAACCCATCTCCATTTTTACCAGAAGAGGTAATTCTTCTGCAAAAATTACGAAGCTCGTGTAAAGCATAAACGCCTGGACTCTGCTGTACCCTAATTGTCATGTAGTAACGAAGAAGACTATATACCATCTGTTCTAATGGTGTACAACCCCACACCGGATACCTTCTCTTCAATTCACAGAAATCAGCAGTTTGATTGAAAGGGAAACTAACAGATCATAAGGTTTAATCGGGTCTCTTACCGGGTCGGGCAATTGGACCGGCCGGAGATGATCGGAACCCGAAAGTCACGGTATCGTATACGCACCAATGGAATCCTGGATCTCCTCTCATGCACTCTTCACAAACCAGATCACTCTTCAGGTTCCTCTCGCCGATATAATCTCCATCTTCTCTGCCAACCAAGCTCAGATTACCCAGACCCATGTTTGCAATGTAAATCTCCTTCTCTATCTGCAGGTTCCTCAGCCTCCTCTCATAATCCTCCATAGGAGACCCGAAACCCGACATGTGATGCCCATGGAACAAACCGTCTTCCACATGGTTCCTCTTTAGAATCATCACGTTTGCAGGAGGCTCTATTTTGTTCTGCTGAACAATCGCCGACGGATTATTGCGCCTCCTCTCGCGTCTGGAACGCTTTAACACGACGAGGAAGATGCACGTTTTTTCACGAGAGATTGCAGAAAAATTGGACTTACCCGTGATGGGGATTTTCTTGCGAGGCGACCTGGAACTTCTCTGGTCGGCGAGGTAGACGGAGAACTGATGAGGAGAGATACCGATCTTCTGACTGAGAACCGATTGGAACGACTTGAAATCCATATCTGGGTAAACGACAGCGTTTCCGATGTTCGTCTCACGCTCCCCGTCGAAAAAAACCACCGGGAAAGAAACCCCGGAGGCGATCTCCACCATGGTGAAATCAGATTCTGGCGAGGATTAATTTACTCTTGAGGAGGGGTCAATGAGAAGAGAAGCGAACATGAAGAGAGAGTTTATGAACAGAGAAAAAGAAAGGAAGGGTTTTTTTTTATATAGAGATGGCGCGAGGAGGGGTTTAAGGGTAAATATTTGGTAAATTTAGTATGGCGGTGGGGGTATTTTAGGAATAGAAGTTAATATTTGGTACTTAAAACGGATAGTGCAGAGAAGTCGGGTGGTATCTTCGAGACGTTTTATGTAGCCACGAGTGCATTAAAACTTGGGGCTCAAGTAAAGCCTCAGAGGCTAAAACGACGCGTAGAATGTCCATTGGAGCGTACATGAATCCCCAACTTTATGCGGTCAACTGTCAAAATTACCCCTTCAAATCTGTTAAATTTGCGCGCCTGCCACTTGAAATCTCATCCTCGAAACCCTTGAGAGTGTCTCTTGGTTTATCTTCGCTGGCCGTATCCATGGAGTCTCCTCCGGCAGGTTATAGAAAGAATGTTGGAATTTGTCTCGTCAATCCATCTAAAAAGGTATAATTTTATTTCTTAAATTCTTCACGTATATATTTCTGTAATGGATTTTCTATATATGGGTTCTACGATTTTTGAAAATGCGTTTTGTTTTGTAGATTTTTACAGCGTCCAGGATAAATATTCCAGACACTTGGCAAATGCCTCAGGTAGATAGGGTTTCTCTGTTCTCGTTGTCTAGTATCTGGTTTTTTGTTTTTCAACCTTGTTTTATTAATGTATGAATTGAATTTATCGTGTGGGATAACTGATGGTGATGAATTTGTTTGGGTTTGGATTATTCTATTTTGCGTCCAATTTCTGGAGCTTCAGTTTCTCCCGCTTAAATAAATAAAAGGGAAACGAAACAGATCCAAAAAAGTAATAGTATTACACGAATGGTCGGGTTATAAAGACAGGTTTTCTGTTGATTTGTCTTAAGATGATGAAGTATTTTTGGTTGTGGTGGGGAGAGTGTTTTTGAAGCCTTTATGGGGAGAACTTCCAAACCCTACAGCATTTTTTTCTTGTTGTGATTGGTAAACCTCCAAAGCAGGAACAAGTTATAAAATCTTCATTAATTTAAATTCAGAAGACTAATTGATTGGGTACTTCAACCGTAATTTGTTGGCATGGAGTACGTTATGGAAGTTTATGTAAGGTTGACTGAGTGTGGATATATATAATGGTTTATGTATTCGTTTCATAACTTTATTTATCACCATTTTAGATTAGGAATCCAACATGGTATTTTAGTTAGATCCTATCTATGTCTAATAGCTTGACTCTGTCTGCAGTTGTATGCAGTTGCTCGTTTATTGACCCTTTTGAGTGGAGGGTATTAGTTGATCATATATGCTTTTGAGTCAAAATCTAATAGGGTCAGTGAAATATTTCATCTTTGTGCTCATGATTTGAGTCTCCGAGAATGGAAAAGAGAAATCAGAAGGCTGAGGGTTGTTTCGTTGAGTATTGGCTCTCTTTTGTGAGCTCTGCTTTTACATATTTCCTAAAATAACTCTGATTTTCGATTGTCTTTTACAGGGTGGTGCGGATGAGGGTGAAGATCTTAGAAATGCAGCAATGAGAGAATTGAGAGAAGAAACTGGAGTTACTTCAGCAGAATTTCTTGCAGAGGCATGCTTATTTTTGTGTTGTTTGAAAATGAATTTATTGCAGCCTGTCTTATGTATTCCACTGTATTTATTATGGAAATTTGGAACTATAGGCACCCTACTGGCTGACTTACGATTTCCCCCTTAAAATCAAAGATAGGCTTAATCGTCGGTGGGGGACAAACTACAAAGGCCAAGCACAGAAGTGGTAAGCCGTCTCAGCCCTATATTGTCAGACATATTGTATTGAAATTTGGTGGAGCTACTTTCATTAACTGCAATGTGTTGTTTATCATACCTGATTTTAAGTTTAGTTGCTAATAATGCCTTCCTCCGGCTGCTTACCTATAAGTAACTATCTGGCAATATTATTGATAATTTCTATTATAATCTTTGGGTGATAAAAGTTCATTGCTTGTGCAGTTGTCTTTGAGCCTTAATCTCTTTCATTAGTAAACAAAAGAAAAATGCTTGGAGTTGAAGAATACTTTCTCTGTGAATTTGTAGTTTTAGCAGCAGTCCCAATGGGGTGCTAATGGAAGTTACTTTTATTTAAGCATAATACATCTGGGACTCTGTAATTAACCTGGAGGATTCTTTTATACTCAGATTTTCATTTAGTGTTCTTAGGTTTCTGTGATGAGTCATGTGACAAGTTTAATGCATCTATTTTACCTTCACGTTATGTTTGTTTAAGTCTGTTTTTAATTTTAAACCAAGATTTAATTATCTGAAGTGTAGAATTAGTTGCAATGAACATAATTTCATGCTCAATTGAATTAACTCTACTCATATTTCAGCTCAATAATAATAAATTTGTTTCCTTACATATCAAGAAAAGCATAAAAAATTACTATTTTTATTAAAGTATTTTATTTCGTTTATGCATTCATTCTTAGTTCATATAATTTTTATTTGAATTACACACAATGTCAATACACTCATGTATTACTTGATGCTTGTGGAAAGGCAGGTTCCTATTTAAGTTCACCGGAGAGGAGGAAGAGATCAACCTGTTGGGCGATGGGTCTGAAAAGCCAGAGTTTAAGGAGTGGTCATGGATGTTACCAGAACAAGTGCTTGATCTTGTGAGTCGACTTTGTTGCTAATCTTTTTAGCTCTGTTTGATACTACACTTGTTAAAATTCCTGTTAATCTTCGCGATATTTTCTTCAAACAGGCTGTGGATTTCAAGAAACCTGTATACCAACAGGTTCTGAAAGTATTTGGTCCCTATTTTCTACGGGATATGGATGACGGTAAGTCTTCTGTTGGATCTTCTGTTGGAAATGAATCGAAAAATGGCAAGGTGCAAGGAATTTCGAAAGAAGAGTAACTTCCGGGCATAGTTGTCAGTATACATTTTTTTTCTTAGAAAAGAACACATGAGATCCCATTTCTTTTTGTAGATGATTGAGGTGAGGGAATGAATGAATGGGGGAAGTTTCCTATCATATGCAATTGAGTTAAATTTCTAAAAGGGAAATTTTATGCTGTGTATCTTTTGAAGTAACACAGAAATATAAGTATGAAAATAAATTACTGTTGTAATTTCGAAGGGTATTTCTTTTTTTAAAACTTAATTTGAAGGTGAAATTTGTTGGAATCACCATGCTTCCCTTCATACTCTTGTTATACAAACTAAATCATTTCAATTCACATGTTAAAAAAGAGTCTTATCAATGGCCTATTATCTCTTTCATGTCAAAAAAGAAAAGATCATGATTTTAGCTTATTATACATCAGGTTGAAAATTAACTTAAAATCTAACTAAATCATGAATTTGATAACAAATAATTTAACTGATGAGGAAAAACGTGACAGGTTGAAATTCTCTCTCTCAAAAGAGATGGGGATTGAGAATGTTAATCTCCTGCTCCAAATCTGCCATTGTTGCTGTTGGAAACCCAAGTTTGAGAATTTCTTGATTCTCTATTCTTAGAGTTAATTTCACAGCTCAATTTAATGGAAATTGGAAGCCAAAAATTCGTGTGGAGCATCTTGATTTTTATACACTGAGAATTTCTACATACAAGATTTGACATTCGCAATAATTTTTGAAAATTTTCTCAGCTAAATTACTTAAAAGGCTTAATTAAGTTTTTAAGAAATTAAGATTTTTACTTGATTATCAACACTAGCACCTATGTTGAAAAGAAATTGTTTTGCAAAATTAGTAATTTAATTTAATGTTAACTTTTGCTAATAGTTTGATAAAAATCATAACTTTATTTACAAAAGAACTGTTAATTTTAATAACTAAATTAAATATTTAGGCAGATAATTCTATTTTAAGTTTTTTTTTTTTTTAATAAAACATAATGATTTCTTTTAAGAATCAAATATGATAAAAGTTTAGTTATTTAAAAGTCATTTTAATGATGACGATGATGAAGATAATAAATTAATTGCTTAAAACTTATTAGACTTGTTCGTGCTATCGGATATTTGATAATCAATTGTCACAGTTACACTAAAAAGTTTCTCTATACTACAATAAGATTCCTCTCAACCTATACAGAACACTGTTTCATCACCCCCACCACTCTCCTCCCTCCCACCAAGGGGGCCGAGGGGAAAAATTACGAAAGAGAGAGCAGAGGATCATCTGCTGCATGACTCAAAACCAAGCAGTTAGATGACGACTAAAAACCTGCCGCAGAAACTGTGCTACCTAATCGTTCGAGCTAAATTGATAATAATTAAATGATAACACACGGAGCATACCCTCTGAGGTCACCCTCGGGTGAATGTGCTATAATACTGCAGTGTCGTTCAGAGGAGCTCACAACAAATCTACTGTCCTTGAGAGTTGTTTGGTGCTGTCTTCCATGTTCCAGGATCCTCAACAATGTTGCTACCAGGAGTAAATGATAAGTAAATAATCAATTATCATTAGCTCCTGAATCTAGATGAAGCGAACTGTGGTAGTGCTGTCTGCTACAAAGTGAAGTGTGTTTTTGGTCTCGTGCTTCCCCAGAGATCACTTACACGGTAACCCTAGCAGGACATGAAAGATCATAAGATATACAGTGTGCCTCAACAAAAGTAACAAACAAACCAGAAAAAGGGGACTAAGTAGTATATAATTTAAGTGTCATTCCAAAATTTTAATTACTTAATATGTTAGAATTTAGTCATACCTTCCATATTCTATACATAATCGAACTAACTAAATTCATGTCTTAAACTACACAATTACGGATCTGTATCCCCACTAGTCAAGTGAAGAATATAAAAAATACTTAATTTGAATTGAATATAACATGACTGAGAACACAAATATTTCTTTCATTTAAAATAAATCTTCTATTTGTATCCTGTTCTTATTCCCATTATATAGAATTAAAATTTGACCCAAGCTTAACCTTAGAGCATCCAGTAGAAGTGCTCCAACAGCAGGCGGGAATAAAAAATCAAAGCCATGTTTCAAATTTGAGATGCTTCAGTTAAGGGTACAACTTACAGCAATAACTATCTTCCGATATGAAGATCTTATCGGTTGTTTGCGTCCTCACTGAATAAAGTACTTGCTACAATCTTCAGTCTGTCAGAAGCACATTGCAGTTTGTGTCTTTCTTCAATACTTACGCAGATAATTTTTGACGACTGCATAGAATATGAAATGAGATCCAACATCATGCAAACCAAAGCTAGAATATCAGTAACAACTATTCCTTATTCTGCAAAATAATTTTGTTATTATCTCTTCAAGAGAAGAACCACAAATTCCAAGTTTTAGAATGATTCACTAGTCCAAACACCTTATAGATCAAATCAGGGCTACCTTATGCAAGGATTACACCTAATACAAAGGTTAGTTTGTAGAGTATGAAATCATGCATGAAATAAATGTTGCTCCAAAACTACTTCCTAGATTTCAATTGCTCTATTGGATAATATATCTGCCCAAGAGAGCTAAATGCAGAAGTGAAAATGTCCAGGTGGCATTAGCATCACTAAGTACATTTCCAGTCCAAGTTCCCTTAAGAATTTGCTGCTGTGTATACGAAGCCAATGAACAGTTAAAAAATGGATCAGAAGCCAAGAAAACTATTGCATGAGTAATATGACTCTCTTTGCCACATGAAAAACATTAGTTTTATTTCCTAAATCCATGTGCTCAAACATATGTCTATGGAAACAAGTACTATAGTTTATTTTTGTGAAGTAACCAAAGTATACAAAAATAGTTTTTCTAGAAAATAGTAAAACAACTTTTATTCTTTTCAAACACCATAACTATTTTCACAATCGGTTCTTAAATATTATCATCATCGTTAACTATCATGTTTTTAGGTATAAACATATATAAATTTAGTAAATAAAAACTAAAATATATTTTCATGTAATAAATAGAGCTTTAAGTTATGCTATTTTCACAATCAATTCTTAAATATTATCATCATGGTTAACTATCATGTTTTTAGGTATAAACATATATAAATTTAGTAAATAAAAACTAAAATATATTTTCATGTAATAAATAGAGCTTTAAGTTATGCTATTTTCACAATCAGTTCTTAAATATTATCATCATCGTTAACTATCATGTTTTTAGGTATAAACATATATAAGTTTAGTAAATAAAAACTAAAATATATTTTCATGTAATAAATAGAGCTTTAGGTTATGCAAGTTTCAGTTGTAGAAAATTTTTTATCAACATTCGGTCCCTACAACTACGTTTGAGGGGCAGAATCATACCTGCAAAGAGAGCAAAGCCTGTAAAATATGGTCAATCTCTGTCTTGAAAGAGCATAAGATTTTTGATTTAGCATCCTATGCATCAATAGGATGATGGAGACATTGCATGTATCTTATTTAAACAGTCTCCAGAATACTGAGTTTGGTTACAAGACAGAAGCGATGAAATTCTTTCAACCATTTCGGACCCCATCATGCTCAAAATGAGATTCAAAAGGGTTGTGACTTCGATCAAACAGAAAAAAGCAAGGTATGAGGTAATAACACCATCTGTCCATATGACTAGATGTTGAAGTTGCATCATCATCTTCTGGAACAGACTGCACAACAACAAAGTTATAGTCTTTCAGATAGAAGAGGATATTCTTTTAGTTTACAGCCAAACTGCTCATGTTGTGAACAATGTTATTAGATCAAGAAAAGATCTGTATTGATAAAAGAAAATATAGACAATGGTGCAAGGATCATGCACAAAGATCCAGAATAATGCATCAAAATGCAGAATTGGTCAAGATGTTGATGCCGAAGTCCATTTTTTATGGCAATGGTGGCTACAACTCCAACTGCTTTACAGCCAGTAGGTATAATTTCATTAGTAAAATATGATACAATAAGAAGCAATAAAATGGAAAAAAACTTAATAAAAGATCTTTCAAATGATAAGTGCTGGACAGACACCATAAAGAAAAGAGCACTATGTACTTACAAGGACAACATCAATTAGATATCCTAAGAGGATATTGCTTAGGGCTAAAATATCCTGTTCAGAAAGCCTCGTTGGTTTGGAGTCCAATATCGTAAGCGTTCTCAGCAAAGCACATGTATTGTCCAAAGGTAGCTTCAACATCTGCAATAACAGCTTTTTCATATATTTACAGAAGAATTTCCTACTAGTCAAGGACCAATCAACTGGATTAACTGGCACTCCTTAAACAAATGAAAATAAGTTATTTAACAACAGGGGCTACTCAAATGCCTTCCACAAACAAGAAAAAAAAATGGAGCTTGAGTCCTAATAGTTTCACCAACTTACAATTTGGTCAAGTATTACTCTCTTTAGCATATGAAACACAAGAGAACTATCACCCATCTGTGACAGATACGAGCAGACAAAACCAACAAGTTCCTTAAACTCTTCATGATTTGATATTTTGGTCTCAGTCTCTGACTCAGAATATATTTTTCCTGTATATATCCAAAAATTATTTTAAATAATCATCGATGACTATTAAGACTCTATCAATCACTTACTCTTAAAAAAAATAATTAACCAGTTCATAACTAGCAAGTTCTATGGAAATAAGACAATAGATAGAGTTTAAATAATGCTTCATGGCAGTGCCAATGATATGACCCAAGTACTACTCAAGGATGTTTTTAGGCCTAAGCACCTCTATACTTGAAAGCCATGAAGACACTTGAGAGTGCAAAACTTTGAAGGGTTCAAAGACAAAATGAAGAATAAGCAACACCTAGTTGAAACTTAACATGAATAATCATGCCCAAATTACTTCTAGCGTGCATAAGAATTAGCTTCTTCACTCTTCAGATACTTCCAAAGGTGATATGTTTCTAAAACTAAATTATGGTAACGTTCAAATTATATCCTCCTCAACGCCCTGTAAGCGCATTGACTCTGATCTTTGGCTTACAGTTTACTGGGATTGAGGCAGGCACAGGATAGAGGAACTTTGGCTGTGGAGAGGCATTCAGAGTAATAAGCAGTCTGTTAGGCTTATTCCTCTAGTTACTATTTGGGCAATCTGGAAGGAGAGGAACAATAGAACTTTTGAGAGTACATATCTAATTCTAATAGATTTAAAGACACTTGGATCTAGACCTTGAGTTTTTTTATCAGAGGCCAACCATTTTATTGTTGCGAGGAGCTTCCGGACCTTACTGATATTATGGTAGAGTTAAAATACTTTTACATACGGGTTGCACCTACAGGTTGCTCTTTGAATATATATTATAATTTTTCTTCTAAAAACAAATTAGATATTCTTAAAGTTAACATTAGTTCCTCTTTCTGATCAGCATATAATATTGCAAACAATAACTTAGATTAATACGATCCTTGGGGAGAAAACAGAAACAGTATAACTTCTATAATCTCAAGTCACATTAACCAACATGAACTTAGTTAAAAGATACCTGCGGAAACTTTAAAACAAGAGACCAAGGTTATTAAGAAGCTGATATGATCAGCAATCTGGATACGTCCACCTTTATAGGCAGAGTGCAGAACCTCCATTATCCGAAATAATACTAAGGGCTCCAGTTCAGGACCTGCAACTTACAGAAAAATCAGATTTAAAGATTAAATAGATCCATATATAGTGACCTCGCAAACTAACAAATAAAAGAATAACTGGAGTTAAAAATAAAAACACTTCACTAGTTTAGTCATCGTTTCCTATGATACCTTACTGCAAAAGTGTATAGTTACAACATAAAATACACATCACAAAGAGAAGAAGAGAGGGGGGGGTGGAGAGAGATAAAGGATAGTGCTTGGAAATAACGTGATGAGGATTCCTGGTTATGGCATTTAAAATCCAAAACTTAAAACCTATTCCAATAACCAAGACACTATACTTACAAAGGCAACAAGAAGCAATTGACTTCAGGAGAAAAGAATCAATGTTGGAGAAATAATAAAGGCAACAAAGAGATAATTCCTGAGCATCCCTGGAAAGCCTGACGAAAGGTCCATAACATGCAGTCCCTACAACATTTTAAAAAAATGATTAAACGCTGTGGCCGAGTGCTCAGATAGGCGTTCAAGCAAAAATCACTCGCCAACTAATTGTTTAATACCTTCCTCCTGAAATGTGCTATAGAAGTCCCCGAGAGTAAATTGTATCTCACTTTCAAGAGCAGGGGAAGCAGACAATAAACCGTATTGCCCAATGTGGAGTAAAAGGTGCAAGACAACCTGAAGAAATAAATGCAATTTCAAGTGAAAAGGTCTTGTATGTGATTAGGAAAGGTCATAACCCGATGTAAACAGGAACCTTTTTTAAATAAACACCAATGTAAAGAGGAACCTAAAGTTAATAGATTCACCTTCATTGATTTAATTAGATTGAATAACCATTTTCCTGATTATAACACCAACAAGGTAATGACAACTTACCAGCGATGAAGATGGATGCTTATCACCTAGAAGAATAAGCAGGGGTGGCAGTCCCCTTATCCAAGTAATCTGATAGTCTAATACTTCCGGGTCACTTGCATCTAGGTGCAGCATGTTTTCCTCCTACAAGTTGTACAAAGAAAGAACAGTTTTAGAATTTGAGATGATACCTTTACCTTTTTTCCCCCTTTTCTGAGAGTATAGAGAGGTTCAGTTTATTCATATGCAAAGAGCCAAAAGTGTATCTTCTTTCTACATATGTAGGCATCACGATGATAGATGTAAACAGATATACATATGATTAGATTATTTACTTCCTACGAAGATCGAGTATACAGCTGAGCTTACAGGAATAAGCATTTTTTCAATCACAGACACACAAGCCAATTTAAGGCTAGACTCTGGATTGCAATTGCTGAAAGTCATAGTAAATGCCTGCAACAAAATATTAAGTAGTTAGTATAAACATTATAGAGTTCATTTTCCTCTTGGGAAACCTTCTCATACACCAAAAGAAAAAATCTAAGACCATGCAATTACCGATATATAGGAACATATCATTCTTGAAAGCCAAGTCAAACCTGCATAAGGCGGTACTTCCAATCATTGTCCACCAGTGATACAAGTTTTGGGATAAAAGGAAGCAGTGAAAGTATATTCTTCTCCCAGACTGCTTTGCCAGAACGTGTGCTACTGCCAATCTGCAAAATCAATTTAACTTACATTCAAAAGATTCTGATACTCTTACACACATGCACCCTTGTGCACAGAGAAAGAACGAGCGAGGGAAAGGAGGGATAAAGAGAGTGGAACTGTCACAAGAAAGAAAAAAGGACTCCATTTGAAGCACTACTAGCTGTAACAATCTCATTGTAGAATCAATACAAATATATTAAAAGTAAATTCCTCCCATTTTGGTGATAAATGGATTTTCTAATAAGATTAAACATTTTGGAAAGTTGTCAATTGTACTTTCCACGTATCTTTTAAATTAATGAAGTTTTGAAGCATCAACTTATCCTGTGGCGTGGAGCTTTAGTTGACTGTTAGAACTAATGTGATTAAGGGAAGAATATTTTACCAGATTGTTGTATCCAAGAAACAATATTTTTCTATAAAGATCTGCAACATTCAGATACCTAACTCAATTATAGAGTGGCAGTCTTCCGTTGTTCTCCTCACCCTCCTAGTTCATTACTTACTATTCAGTTTCAACCTTAACCATATTCAAATTGTTCTGGTAATCAGAATTCCACAAAACAATTCAGCAGCATAATTAACCCATAAATAATTCTGAATTATGAAAAACAATACAAAAATAGATTTAAGATTTAACAAGGAGAGACAGCAGTCTGACGAATGATGGATATTAGATTTTTTTTCAGCTGTCCGTATGGAATAGAGCTCTCTCTGACATCTCCAAGAGATTGCTCTAACCTTTCTTTGGCATCCTACTACAGAGTGAGTCTAAGGGTCCATACAGAAAAACTGCTTAGGCATGCTTGGCAATATCTTATACTCTTCTTCTAGTCATTCACTGTGTTTGAATAGCAAATAACTTTCACAACTTTACTACCTAAGGTTTCTGAATAAATAAGAGCCTTTTCATGGTTACTCCAGCTAATCAAAACATTCAATTGTAGGTTCATATTTTACCAAATAACTTCTGATAAATAACATATTTTTACACAGGTACAAGATTGAAAAATGGAATATTCAATTTCTGGAAATTCTACAAGTGTGGTGATGTAAGAAGCAAACCTTTCCAAGAAAAGCATTTTCAATAAATTCCAGAAATTTCTCCAATAAATCAGCAGGGGGACAGATCCATTCACTGAATTGCAAAAATATTTGTGTAATCACAACGTTCAAAATGAAATACCTGTCATCATCCTGCCAAGGAAATATAAGAGTTAGGCCCCTTCAAGTTCAGAGTAGAGCAAAAGCATTAAATACTTAAGTTATGACCCTTTTCTCACAGAAGATCCTGAAAAACTACTGAGAAAATACATAGTATATTAAGGGCTTAAGTGCGACATAAAACTAAGATTAAATCCTAAAATCGCCCGATTTAGCAAACAGAGAAGAGACGTTTAACATGTGTTCACGCATGCATGTGCACGCGAGAGACACAGAGAGGAATTATCAGGACAGAATATTCAGTCCCTTTCTTTATGGTGTATCCTTCACACAGGTGTATTATCTCTTGGGCAATAATAATGCAAATCATCTAGTTTCCAATGCACGTATTAAATATAACTCTGTTCGTTGTGCATAAATGTCAAAGCTGAAATCCAAACTAAAATTCCCAACGGACTAAAATTGTCAAAAAGTACCCAATCCAAAATACAACTTTTTGTAATCTATGTTTTTTAATACTTGTAAGAGCAAAACATGTAAACTCTTCAATAAATATTACATAGGCAATACCTTTTCAGAGAAGTGATGAACTGAATAGAGAGGAAATACACCCAGTAACTTCTTAACCAAAACAGATGAAATAGTTTGATCCCACGCAGTTACATCAGGTATTTCAGGATGAAGCTTTGCTTCTAATTTGTTCTTATGGTTTCCATAGACTAAAAATCTGACAGCAAGATCTATGCTCTGAAGTATGGAATACATGCAATCAAATGATAGTGCATCCATCACAGGCATTGCATGAACCAGTGGAATAAATTCTTTGAAACAATTGACTAAAACTGCAACAAGGTCCTTTAGTTTCTTGGAAATGTGAGAAAACCCTGGATAAATGACAAGCAGCATAAGGTAAGGTGACAGAGAAGTAACTGATGCATATAAAAAAAGAGGTAAGACATATGTACTCCATATTCTCTTAGGGAGAGAAAGAGAAAAATGTCTTAATTTACTGCTGTCTCAAAGAGAAAAGATATAAAAGATCAAAAAACCTGATCATAAAGAGGGTGACCCTCAATAAAACACAAAGGACCCTAGAACCAATGGTCCCAGTTGAAGCGAAAAGGGAAAGAGGCCCTCAAAAAATCTATTGCTCTTTTCTTTATAGGTGACCCGAATTATAGCAGGGTGGATGAGAGATACAACTTCCTTTTTGCCTCACCAAAAAGATAATATGTACTTCATATAGTTGTCACATTTCAAACATGGAATTAAACAACACATATCCCAGATGACAATTTCTCCAGTATGGAACATCAAAGCAGACAAACATAGACAACAGTCAATCTGCATCCCATGTTAACAATACAGGTATTTGTTCTTTTGAAAAGAAAACTACGTATATTCATAGGCACCAAGGGGGTACAACTCATATACTCAATGTACTCATGGTAATGACAAAGCATTCAAAGAGTATATGAATTACGATAATCGCTACCATCATGGTGAATGTGTAAAGCAATAGCATCAGTGCATCCATGAACTCAGAAGAAGCTTCACATACCTGCACTTTCTTTTGGCACATCAGGCTCAAAGCCATGTAAAGTCTCCTGTCCAGCAGTTTCCTAGAACATAGAATCGAGGAATGTAAGAAGCCAAATTTAAAAGTAAAAAGGGTCAACAAGCAACCCTCAAATGCAATAGAACGTCAAAGCATACTTCTGCAAATACCATTGTTTAACAGTCATTTATTGGTAACAAAATTCCCATGTCTCCATCACAAGCTACTGAAGATAAAATATCTAGATGACACTTGACAAACACTTTTAAGAACTCCACATCATTAATAAGAATAAAATTTTTAAAAAGGGTTGACATTAATTTCTAGTCTCTATCAGGGGAAAGTAAAAATTTAGCCCATGTGCTTTGATTGCAGAAATTAAGTCCTGGAACTGCCAAATTTTACAATAAATTTCTGATTTTTACTTGATAAAATTATATCTTTGGTATGTGATGATTCTCTTCGCTATGGTTGTGTAACAAGATATTAGAACAAAATAACTACTACGTGCTAAGCAAGAGAACTAAATCCAGTAGATCTGATGGAATTTTCAATTAACGTCCACATGGTAACATTCTTTTCCACTTCAAGAACTTGTTGCAATGAAAACCGTTGCCTCCAAAATGATAATCCCATATGCCAAAAAACAACAAGCCATATGCAATGGACACCAAAGTAACAATGTTGCAAGTCTCCTCCATTTT